GGGAAAGAAAGCAAGAGTTTATGCAAAGGGACAACCTCGAGACTTTGCCTCCTCTTGTTTGAACTATTTGGATGTAATGCAAGAGCGAAACAAGGAACGGCGTGGAGCTTCTTTTCAGACGGGTTGATCATATATGGTCCGGGGTTTACGGGTTTTGTGTTATCGGGGAGATCAAACAGGGAGAATTTTGGTTTGGGCTGAAGCGATTTGGAGAAAGAGGGTTTCCTTTCTATTGCCAGTTCAGATTCTTTGATTCAAGTTCCCACCCAAGAGAAGATGGATGTGTAAAATGCAGACGTGATAATCTTCCAAGGAAAATGGTGAAGAAAGGTAATATGGAATGGCAGTTTTCATCTTAAAATGTGTCTGATGAGAGAGGTGTTTGGTTTCTTCATTTGTTCCGCATCATGTTTTGCCCAAAGATTCCTAAGAGAAGCTCTCAGATTCATTGGAATGGACGTAAACAAGTTTCATTTGTAGCATATTTTGCTGTTGAGTTATAAATGCATTTTTTTTATATGAATATTGGTTATTAATATATGTTTGTAATTGGTGAATCTAAACTATAAGATGTGTTATTTTAATACTATATATATTTATATATTCTTTAAGAAAAAACTGATATATTTCATTTATCACCCATTTATATAGAATATTTTTTTTATAGGAATATACCATTGGACTATCAAAATGTGAGATATTATATTTAGACCAAACACTGAATCAAACCACACCTAATTTATCATAATTTTGTTTTCGATATGGATTAACCACATTTAGAATTTGAAATAAATTAAAATTTTAAATTAAGTGGAATCTAAACTAAAAGTTTTATGAAAGAGATTTTTTAGAGACGAGGTAAATCCAGACGTAATCGAACCCAAAACAAACATATACTAAACCTAATTTTGATTTTTAAGTGTTGCTAAACAAAAATAATCTCGCCCGGAACCAGCTCATTTCTTTTTATTTTTAACTTATTACTGGTTTATAACTAATCACACATGGTTACATGAGATTTTGGTTTAATATTTTTTTTAGATTTTGAAAAAATTAGTTCATTTGTTTTTTATATTAAATTTAATTTATATTGAACTTTTATCTTGATTTTTGGATTCAAGAGATGTTTATTTTTTAACCAATATATTTTAATCTAATTTTTCCTGATAATTTTACATTTAGTTTAGATGATTAATTTATTTTTTAAAATTCTACTATATCAGATAAATAAGATTTCAGATTGAATTTCAATTAGGATTATATCAAGGTGAACCGGATTAAACCAAACCGAAATGGTCAGAGATGGTGCGAACAGTGTTTAGGGAAAACAGACAACATAGTCAAATTGTCTCTGAAACCGAATAAATTCCGCCATTTCCCTTTTTCAGCTTTTTCTCCATCCACATTCTTAAAGACGACAAAGAAAAGGAAATATTCAACAGTGTTCGTGAAAGTGAAGGGAAAAGCCCACTTGCATCGCATCAAAACCCAACTCACTTACTGGAATCTGCTTCGCTTGCTTGCTCCTGTAGTAGTGGCAATGCTCTGCCTCAGATCGGAAGCCCTCGACGACGATCAAGCCCTACCCTCATCGTCTTCTTCCCCAAGCACCGATCGGAGCAACTCCAACGGCGGGTTTCTTCTTCCCATGAACTGGTACCTTTGCCTGATTCCAGACATGCCCATTTTGCGTGGTTTGTGTTTTGGTGATCGATTCTTACTGGTAATGGGTTGTTCTGTAACAGGGGAAGCTCGATTAGTAGGTTTTTGGGTAGGACTAGGAAGGGTTCGAGACGATCTTATTCTTCAGGAGATGGGTCATTGTATTTTCCAGATCTCGAGGTAATGTAGCTATATTCGAGGGTTTGCTGAAATCTTGGGGTTTTGGGGTTTAGTGTCACTCGTTATGGTAAACTACATTTGATTCCGTAGGCGTAATTTTGGGTCATTTTGATTTTTCTTGCAGGAGAATGAGATGCTTGATCGTAGGAGTGAGGGAAAGGAAGGAATCAAGAGCAAGCGTCAGTACAGATACGAGCTGGAACAAGACGTAAGTCAGATTGGATTTTGGCTTCTGTTTGTGAATTGTGCATCAGTTTTTGTTTCATTTTGTGTTTATAGTCATGAAACGATTTGATGTACATAATTACTCGTGTGACGAAAATGAAAAAGGGAATGATAAATGTGTAAAGTGTTTCGATATGCCGATAAGAGACGAGCCGGTGTTTGTGTGTAATACTGATCATATTGATATTGGGAAATGAGGCACGTATCATACATGCATTTTTGAAGCTTTGATTAGGTAACAAAGTTGCGAAAGTTTTGAGTATTCGCATTTTCGTTCTTATTTCCCGCGAGGTCTCGTAATTTCCATTTCCATTTTCCTTTTGTTGCGGTAGGGCAGAATATAGAGAGTATCTCACCCATTAAAGCCTGAAATAAACAGGTTAAGAAGTTGCAGAAGCAGTTGCAAGAAGAGATCAACTTGCAGTTAGCTCTAACGAGTGCTGTTGAACACTCTGATTCGCCATTCTTGGAGTCCCCTTGCAAACTTCCTGACAAGGTTAACCTCTCTTGTCAGAAAGTTTCTCTCTCTTCTTCTTTTTTTGTTTCGTCCTAGTGTGTTCCTTACATTGTTACTATGGGAGATTTCAGGCCCAGGAACTTCTGGACAGCTTAGCGGTATTGGAAATCACCGTGTCAAAGCTCGAACAAGAATCGGTTTCTTTGAGATATCTACTTAGCCAAGAGAAGAGTGAGAGACGCCTTGTTGAGTTTCGTCGAAAGAAATCTCCCAATTCTGTACTGCCAATGTTCAGTGATGCCCTAAATCCCTCCAGCAAGTTGGTATAAATCCAATAAAAGTATCATTTCTTTTGAGTTTGTTCTGTTTACTGTATGGGTTCTAATGCTTTTAAAATACATTCATTTGATTCCAATAGGTAACAAGCAAGGGAGACAATAATAGGCAAGTGGTTTCTTGAAGGTGGTCAAGCCCTAATGTAGAAGCAAAGAAGATGGGCTGACCTTTGCCACGAAAAAGGGATGGCAGAGGACCTTATGCATTGTCCAATGAAGTGATCAAGTCCATTGAAAATACTGTTTCCTTACCGAAATCCTCCAAGACTGCATTCTGCTGATGCTGAATCTATATCTACAACTCCCGACGGAAGAGTCCCTTTTCTTATTCACCAAGTGTCATTAACCGGATATGGAGCTCGTCAGATTCGCATAACTTAACCAGCAATAGTCGAATGAGGGAGCAACTTTAGGAGATTAAGACAAGACAGCAACGGAAGTGGCATTGTTTTCTGTTGGAAATAACAAAACTCAAGTAACCCGCCATGGCTTTGTGAGTGTACTGTGAATTTCCATGTCCGAAATGTATCATTTGTTTGACAAAGAGATACCTTTTCGTATCTGCTCAGTTTGGGTTGGAAATCTGATCAGTTTCAGACATACCCATCTTTCCTAGAGGGGAGGAAGAGCCTTAAATAGATGTCTTGTAGTTTATTTTGTGCGCTATTTTATGTTGTTAACAATGGCTATTCAGCTTTCTTCTAACTTTTGCTCAGTCACTTTTTAGCGAGTGGAGTATCGACAAGCCATCTGAATCTTCTTTGCTGGATCACAAGGTATCAGTCTCGAAGCGTCATAGTCAAGTTAAAACCGAGTTTCTTCCTTGTCGAAGGTAACATTTTTCGGAATAATCGCCGTCGTCTTCTTTGGTTTATGGGCAAAGAACCTTTCTTGAGTCGGAAATGATCGCATGTCACGACCAGTTTGCATCATCAGATACCCAGTTCTGTTCTCCCGTATGAATACGATACAGACAACGAGACTCTGTACCCGTTTTTTTGTCGAAACGATGATGGCGGGTTCGCTTCAAAGGTGCTGCTACTGATTATTGTAAGGATCATATAATGGGAGATGTGAACTGTGAAGGCAAACGAATGTTATAACATTCGGTTCATCGCTAAAGTGTGTTTGTGGCCGAGAAGCGAGACATGAGATAGCATTTGTCTAAACCGGTTGGTTGATGATGTTCATGACCCGAGAGACAGGATGAACTCGTGTCACTAGCAGTTTTACGGCACAGTAGAATAGCAAAATATATTACGCAATTTAATTATTATTTCAAATCATCCTCGACTTTATTATTTTGCTTTATGTTTCCCCTATCTCAAATTTCTTTTTCTTCTCTCACATTTTTTTCGTTTCTAATAATTTATTTTCATTTTCATATTCTTTTAAACTCTTTATTTGAAAAATATAAAAAAAATTAATTGGTAAATAAAAAAAAATTAATAGATTTAACTTCATAAAACAATCTTTAACATGATCTAAGTGATACTGTGAGGTTAAACTTCATTAAAAAAAAAAACTTACAAAAAAGAATTAAAAATTTCCCGACCTAATCTAATATATGCTTCCCTTGTACATATAGGTTAGGTGAATTGCGTGTATTATTATGAAGATAGATTACAAATATATAGGAAAGTATATCTAAGATGTGAATGGAATACAATCACAAGAATATCTCCAATAGTACAAAACTTCTTTGAAGAAATTTTTTTTTTCTCAAAAAGAGTTCTATGCCACCTCAAAATATGAGGTGTGACTATTAAAAAAAAATTAAAATAGTTTTTCAAAATCTTTTGTTCAATTTTCTTTTCAAACATCATAAAAAATTCGATGCCCTCACCTAATCTAAGATACTCTTTTGAGTGAGCGGTTCTCCTTACCAAACATCATAAAAGTTTTGGTTGCACATCATGATACAATGACAAATTTATTCCATAATGACGTGTAATTTATTTTTTAATTGTGAAACATGAAAAATGTATGCACTTATCCACTAGTTGGTGATGGTTGAGAGATAGACAATAAATTGTGTGATTAAAGGTGAATTCCGTATCTAGAAGGATTAGTGGATCGAAGTCCCAATAAACTTCTTAGTTATAAAAAAAAATATCAGGAATTCAAATATAATTTAAATATTATTTATTTTAGAAATAATATTTATATATTAGAATATACTCCCTA